TTTAACCAACTTTGTACAAAGAAGAGATGAAAAATTGAAGAAGCGAAGAATTCGTCGGAGAATAAGTCGGATTTTTTCGATTAGGGGGGAGGTTCGGGGGGAGGGGCAAGTTAATTGACATATCTCATTTATTTTTTTAACTCTTTGAGAATTTTTGTTTATTACTAAAAGACTAATTTCTAAATGCCACTTAATTACGTACTACTTTGCCGTGATTGTTAATTTTTTGCCCCCACAACAAAAATTCGTTTCAGTAGCCCAGTGACTGATAATTAGAATTGCTTGGGTGGGGGCGGAAGCAATACCCCCCAGCGAGGGGGTTCGGGGGGCCTCTTTTTAAAAAACACCTTAAACAGTAAAATATTTAGTGGTTTCAGACGGATAATTTAACAATTAACAAATTTTTAAAATCATAGTATTTATTTGGTAAAATATTAACTTGATCTATACGTACTAGAGATGCAAGGGGGGTGAAAGAAAACCAATATTTCCTAGATCGCATATTTTTATATAAAATCAAATGATTATTTATACCTACTCTTGTTTGGCAAAATTATATCGAAAAATGACACATGGAACCCTGGAATTATAAATCAATACAATGTTACTTAGTAAAATCTTTTGATCGAATATTATTCATAATTAATGAACAATTGAATTTTTTTCCGTCTCCTTTGTTTAAAAGAAGGCATTTCTTACACAGGTCTACGACAAAAACCTCCGGCTAAATTACCGCCGGTCAAAAATTTGATACCTATGTACTCCAGGGAAATTAAGAAAAATAATGTAAACCTTCAAGTAACGTAGTGCCCAACACTCCTGGTGTCCTTACTGCCTTTGAATTCCTTAAAAATTTTGGTATGGGTTTGCTTTAGAAAAGAATCCACCTCGGAATCCACATACACAAACAAACTACAGAAAATGTGATAGTAGGTGTTATCTCCCGGGGGTTTTGATAGGGCGGTTATTGTCTTTCGGGGGATAATGGAGGGGGGTTTATGTCCGGGAGTATTTTCGTCGGGAGTTATTGTACTGTACCAATTACTAGACACTCAAACTAAAATGAATGAGCAAAATACAATAATGCGACAGCGTGCGCATCCTTTCTTGGTAAGCCATTTTTTCTGCCTCTTGGAGCCCCTCCGGTTTAATTCGTTAGTCTTAACGTTTGAAAATGGTCTATTGCTAGTTAAAATTAAGTCTTAAAATAAGACAAAATTACAGTGGAATTGAGTGCTACTTTTGCGCCAAGTTAGCATCACCGGTAAAAAATTTCGTTTTCTGAACATTTCAAAATTTTTTAGCTCTGAATCAAAGTTGGTGTTTAACCTCGGGTTTAATTAGACCAAGAGTATGAAACCCACATTTTTGACTTTGGTGTAGTGGAGGTGGCATCTTTTCTGATACACATAATATAATGGCAAAAAGAGGTGAGAGAAAACACACAATTTATGCAAGTCAGCATATACCGTTTAATATGATTGGGATAAAAAATGACTCCTCTCTCACTTTCTTGATCGAAATGCGCGCTTTGAAGCGCCACGAATCCGAATCAAAGAAAATCTCGATTATATCGATCTGTCTGTCTGTACTCTCATGTCCAGCTAAACTGATTGGAACCAAATTTGGTACACATTATATATTAGACATAAAAGAAAAAGCTGAAAAGCTTTTAGTTTTTGAAGTTTGGCCATATTATGGCTGAACATTAATCGTATCGGCATAAAACGCTCCTCCCCCAGTAGCTAAAGGGCCTAATTAGACACTATAATTCCCAGTATAATTCCTGTATAAAACTTGGGTTTAAAATAAGTACTTACAGATATATTCGTGCCGTAATTGGAATGTCTTGCAAGTAAACTTTAATTTGAAAAAGTGGTGTGGGCCCAGTACACTCGGCCGCCCGACAATAAATTCGAGAATCCTCCTACATACTACATTTGACATATACAAAGCTCCTAAATAGCTAGTAATTTTGATACAATTTTTTAATTAGTGAGGACATTCCGCTCCTCGTGCAATTATTTATTTCTCAAACCTCGGCGTTTAGTTCGCCTTCCACAGAATACTTTCTTCAGTGAATTGATCGATTTTAACTTTCCCCCGTCCATTCCGAATTCATCGAAGCATACCGTAATTAAGCTCTATAGACGCGATACACCGCCCACAGAGAAGAAGCGGAACTGGTGCCCTAAAACTTTTGCCCAATGTTGTAAATTAACCTTACACTACAAATTGTAACATTTACCTTTAACGCAACGATCCGTATCCGCACCGATACGATCAATACGTGAGGTAAAAGTCTGTTACCTTGAGGAGCGCCCTCCAGTACGAATTGAATTAAGTTAAACCCTCAATTATCTTTGCATTATTCTTTTGTAGAAAATAGGCCTCGCATGATCGATTTATTTAATTGATAGCAAAGTTCTATTTATACAATTAACAATGTAGTTAGCTTTAATTGGCTCCGAAGCGATCGCTTGCGAGGACTATAACCGAAAGGGCAGAGTCAATTAAAATGAATTTGTTTGCTCTTTACACAGTCTGCCTCTAATTTTCATTAAAAAGCCATTTGTTATAATGTGGAATAATATTTTCAAGAAGTCTTGTCGTGTTATGAAAACATTTAACCCAGATTATGATTTATTCGCTCGATCGAGCTATGCAAAATATATAATTGGTGGATTAACGGTGAAATTGAACACCTGGAAACGTCTCCTCTCCACGCGTCACCCTGGCAGATCGACGCGTCGCCTTCGAAATTTTTAATTAATTCCATAGAAAAACAGTGAAACGTGGGAATACAAATCGTGCCGACTCTCACGGAGACGAAAAAATCGCACATGTGTGCGCAAAAATTACGCATCAACCTCGGCATCAACTTTTACGTTCAAATCCTTAACCTATATCGATATTCATTAATGTCGTCTATTAACGCTCTGTATATTTTCATTAGTTGGAGCACACGTTTTTGCTCCATGCCAGACCTTCAATATTTATAAAAGCTTACATCACGAAAGTGTTATCTTGGGAGAGACGTATTTTGTTTATAAACGAATATCTCGCCAGGCGCTTATAGAACAACAAAAAGGCATCGGATTTATTGTAATTTATATGCAAAGGTGTGCCGTAAAGGTTTGCTATACCATGTGATATCCCGTTGTTTTATGGATTCTAAAGAGACGTTTCGGTTCTTAAATTAAAAATCAATACATTTTCGTAAATTATTGCCGAATTATTGGTTGATGGCAATTTTTTCGGTTGTTGCCATACGCTGTGATTTGTTGGCTTTGGTTTTCACTGGAAGAAACGTTCTACAAAGAAGAAATAAATTATCTAATTATGGGTCATATGTTTAAGACAAGCTGTTGCATACGTCATTCTGTGGTTGTTCTTGGAATTATTTCATGCCGCTTGTAACAAGCTTGAAGGAAGAAGCACTGTTATGTCTCTGAATTTTCTGTCAATGCTTCCTCTTCTTCTCTGTCCATCTGTCCGACATCTTCCTCGACCCAGTTCTCCGATTCTTCCGTCAATGTTGCCTCTTCTTCTCTGTCCATATATCCAATATCTTCCTCGACCAAGTTTTCCGACTCTTCTGTCCATGCTTCTTCTTCTCTATCCATCTGTCCAACATTTTGCTCCACCGGGTTTTCCGAATCTTCTGTCAAAGCTTTCTCCTCTTCTCTCACCATATGTCCAACATCTTCCTCCACCACGTTTTTCGAAACTTCTGTCAATGCTTCCACTTCTTCTCTTCCAATCTGTCCAACGTCTTCCTCGACCACGTTTTCTGACTCTTCTGTCAATGCTTCCTCTTGTCCTCTGTCCATCTGTCCAACATCTTCCTCGACCACGTTTGCCGATGTCTTATCGAAATTTTTTGAAGGTGTGTCCTGGGCTCTCGATTTCCGACACATCTTCTCGATTGAGGACTTACTCTGGTGAGATAATTGAGCCACTGGGCACATGTAATGTTACGATCAGTTTTGGAAACAAAGTAACCATTGGGCGCTTATTTATTGTGGGAGATCATGTTGACTCTATTTGCGGCCGACAGTGGATTAGGATCCTGGATCTTCATAAACGTCCGCTGAATGACTTAGAAATTCACGAGGTCACGGTCACGCAAGCAAATTCCGATGAATTGTTGAAGTCGTTTTTGAAGGAATTCGGCGATGTTTTCGATGATAAATTAGGTCGAATTCCAGCGATGGAGAGCAATTTACAAATGCTAGAGAACACCGCACCAAAATTTTGGAGAGCTCGACCAGTACCGTATGCCTTGAAAGATCGTGTGAACGCTGAAATTGATCGACTAGAGGCGATGGGCGTGATTGAAAAGGTTGTTCACAGTCAATGGGGAACACCCGTGGTTCCGATTGTAAAATCTGACGACTCCATTCGTTTGTGTGCGGATTACAAGGTGACATTGAATCGATTTTTGAAGGATGACAAGTACCCCATTCCCAGGATCGAAGATATTTTTGCGAAAATGAGCGGGGGAAGATTTTTCTGTACACTTGATGTCAGTCGCAAGTTTCTGGGAAAGTAAAATAGGTAGGGTTTTGAAAATTTGTACTTAGGAGTTACTCTGAAGGCCGAATCGATGTAAAATATTTTCAAAATGGCCGCACTTCCGGAAACACCGGAAGTAGATAGTAACTTCGTTATTTTAAATGGCAACCCCTATTTTTTATTGCATTTTTGGATTCTACGTGAAATTTCAGTTCTTTTGATACCCATATGTCGATATCTACCATTTATGGTTTTTAAGTTATTTTGACTTTATGAAAAAAATGGCGGATGCAGATGGTACCTTGATAATTGATTACTTGAAAACGGTTATAGTCATGGCAATCCATTTTTATCAGTGCTAGTTAAAATAACGAAGCTACTATCTACTTCCGGTGTTTCCGGAAGTGCGGCAATTTTGAAAATATTTTACATCGATTCGGCCTTCAGCGTAACTCCTAAGTACAAATTTTCAAAAACCTACCTATTTTACTTTCCCAGAAACGTTTAACTAAAGCTCCCAAAAAAACACCCTGTATAGGTACCTTTATTCTCGCCTTTATTTTTCGGTGAGCGGCAGAATTTAGTTTTCCGCAAAATCCATTTTCTTTAAGTCAAGGTAGGTATAGGTCTGATCTGGAAATCGTAAATATTTCTCGAGATCGACTCGAAAAGCACTCGCGATCGACAGCACCACTGTTACAGGATGTTGAATGTTACAAATCGAAATTAAACTATTCCAACTTATTCTACACCTAAAACTGCCTAAAGACACATGTTTTACAAATGATTGGGTATTAACAAAACTTATGTGTAACATTCGAGGACGCGGCATAAGAAGTTGGTCACTGGTTAGCATTTTTGTAACCTCGACAGAAACACGAGTTTCCATAAGAAAACAATGGACATGTATTTCAATTTCCTCCTTAATTTCAGTGCGATTGCGGAGCTTCATTGGTTGTCTACGAAGAGACTATGAGATTTCTGAACTGTAATAATAAAATGTACTTCTATCGAATAGGCGTAGTACAGTCCTTCCACTGTACCTGCACTGCATATATTGCGGAAAGTGAGGCTTAAAAAAAATTCAAAATGTCCTAAACATTTACAATACTTACTAAAAACATTTCTGAAATTTTCCTGCCAAATAATTGGAATCCACTCATTTTAAGAAAGGGGAAGTGACATTTTCTTCTTGCTCTGCGATCACTTAATCCTTTTACAGTACAGGTACGTCTCAGCGAGGTCTCAGTTTATACTTTATACTTCAAAATCAAAATTAGTCCTAAGGGTGTGCCGTTCCGAAATGAGTAGACAACAATTGCACCTCAATACCACCTGTTGAATGAACTCGTGTATTTCAAGAAAAATCAAATTCCAAAATGCGTTTTTAAAATTTTCTGGTAAAGCTAGACTCACCTGCACTAATTCTTGAAGTATTCGCGCTTGATAATGGCAATTGGTACTTTTAGGAGGATAATTGTGATCTGTTACTCCAAATGCATCCAAAAAGATAAATTAGCAAGAGTATAAATCGGATAGAATTTGCCGGGGAATTGCAATTATTCCAAAAATTTGAAGGTAACGGCGATTTTTAAGTTCTGTAACAGATCCTTCCGTAATTACTTTACTAGAATTAAATTAATTAATTGAATGATTGATCATTAAGGTGTTACTGAAGTGATATTTCTATACCCAAATACCCATACCTACCTACAACGAAAAACTGGGCCAGAAAAATGTAACCTTCTTTAAAAAAACGAGTGAATTTTGATTATCGAAATCTTGCACTAAAATTACGACTTTTTTTATTCTTTGATTTGGGGGACCTAAAAGTAAATTTTATTCAATAATCAAAGTGGAAACTGGAAACGAATTGAAGATAGTGAACAACCTATCATGAGAAAAACTTGCGTCATAAAACGTGAATTTGGCAATAAAATTTTTTTATAATTGAGCACCTGCAGAAGCTTGTTGTAGGTATTACCAATACAAAATTACGAAATATTTGACCTTTTTCCCGTCTTATACCCCAGTCATTACCTGCAATACGACGCACCTCAAATAATCGTACCGACCAACAAATGAATTCAAATTGGACAACTAATACCATTAATCTGGCACGAAGAAGCATGGAGGTGTAATTGTATCGAAATTTCAATTTGATTTTTAAATTAGTACTTCGAGCGTTCCCAAGCCTACGCATTCGTTATGCATTTGTGACAATTTTCGTAATTTCCTCACGAGACGCTAAATCTGAAAGTTTGGACACAACCATTTGGGTCAAACTCGTCTCTAATCTACATTTTACTGTTCTCACTCGAAATCGTAAATTTTCACGAGTGCTCCACAAACCAATAAGGCCGAAGGCGAAGCTGGTTATAGGCAGATTTATTCATTTTCGCCTAATTGAGAAGTGTAACACACAACACTTCGGGACGGAGACGTTGATTGGTGACAATTAGGGTTGAAAAGTATAGAGGATTTAATCTTACCTTCCGGTCCAGTCGCACTCATCACCCATAATTGTCGCAGATGTCACCCACATTAGACATGCAAATATAACACAGTAATCCATTAGAGCTACACGTCCTCGGCCCCGCTCATACACGTCCGGCCCCATTTTACACATTACACTTCACATTAATTAATTCCATCACCTTTTTTTCCGCCTCCCCTTGTCAAAAAAGTACGAGGAGCGCTCTTGAAAATCTCTAAAAGTCACTCCACTCGAACACCCTCGCTTAACTCATAACAGAGCGGAGCGAGAAAAGCTCTTCGCGCTTTCCAAAATACGGTAACGCACGTACGTAATTAAAGTTGAAAGGTTAACGCATAACATTCTACTACTGCAACCACTTTCAGCTTACTGAAACTGAATTTTACGGCGGGAAGTAACAAGTGGTTTTAAAAATTAACTGGCACGAGTTCGCCACGAACGTCACCGAATTCCCACCACTTGTTGGAACGAGACGAGATGAGATTTCAAAGATTAAAGGAAAACAAAGGGGGACCGAAGCGAATAGTTCCGAATGTTAGGTATCAAATTGTTTTCGTCGGAAGGGTGGGTTGCGGACACCTTCCCCGCAAGGGATCTTCATTACTTCTCCAATTAAACATAAACGCATACTACTCCACACCCATCTCAAGTATTTTATGTAAATTCACTGGCGAAGCAAATAATGCACAATGCCTCTATTGTGTCTAAAGTGAGTGGGATCTGGATCTTTGTCCTGATGAGACGCAAAAACCACCTACCTTTTTACGATTTATTGCCAAACGAAAGTGTTGAAAAGTAAGCAGAGCTTTTTTTACTGTGCTCCATGCGTGCTGTTCGGCATCTCCAATAAATAATAGAACACAAATAGGTAGGTATTCCTGGGCTCTATTAAATGCGACGCCGAAAGCCATTCCATTTCTCCTCCTACACGTCTATTAACTAGCAATCTTACCAATTTCCCTTAGGATAATCGTTGTTAATTCAAGGTATTTGTACTATGTACTTAGATTTACTCTTCCCGTTATATCTGTAACTAACTCAGTTTTGCTTTGTGCGATTCTGATTCCTGACTCGATGATACTCTTAGAATAAAATGTGTGAATTGTGATTGGTTACGACAGCAGTATTACAGAATTACATTTTGCTACTGCACTTTATGATTCGTAGATGAAATCGAATCCGAATTCAGATGTTTGATATGACTAACAGTAGCAACAGGGCTTTATTTAAAAATAATTCAACCCATATCAAAAAAGAAAATATTTATATAGATAATGCCCAAAGGGCGAAGTTCACGAGGAAACCAAATTCCGCCATGCTCTTCCTCTATTTATTATTATTTGTGTACATTGTGTCCAAGATAAGGATCTCCGAAACCATAGAAGATACGGCAATGGTAAAATTAAAGAAAAAATGCGCAATTAGAGTTATTATCATGCTAGAAAAGTCTGATTACTTTCGAAGATATGCCAGAAAAACCGAAATTTCCCGATTTCGTTCATGAACTTCATTAAACTTGGTGAGTACTATAACGTGAGGTTAGTTCGGCGCTGTAAAACTCAAACCCCGCCGCATAAACGGCCAGCTAGCTCAGATTCTTAATTAAAAGAAGGGCTCGAGATGAGAATCTTCCACAGCGGTTTGTTCGTTTGGGCATATAACATAAGTTTTTGATCTTTGGTAGTTACTAGAAATGATTAGTTGAGCGCCACCCAATTTTGCACAAATTCTGACCTCTCCTGTATAGAAATTGGGAAAACACAAGAGAGCCAAATAATAAATTCACTACGAACAATTCTGATTTATTAATCCTGGCAAAACGGTGCAGGATCAGCAAATAAAATGTATCTTCAATACGACAATAACAAATACTTTAAATGACAAAAATAATCCCCAAATAAATTCATGAACACTTCCCTAATAATTACGTTACCAGACCCCTACAACAATGATCGAGCAAAAATGTAGTTAAGATTTCAATGGATTCCAAGATTGAATTAAGTTAACCCGAATAACAACTCATATAGGCAACACTGGGTACAAGTAAATTAAAAATCTTACCTTGAATAACACATACGCTGTCTTCTCCGAAAAAGAGCTCTCCTTCGAAGTTCCAGTTCTGTAACACAAAAACAAACCCCAAGCTACAACGCTCGGAACGATTATATGAGCCGGAAGGGCCAAAAATAGCTTACTCGTAGCCGGCTCGTTTACCCATACGTTAAATACAGGTGCGTTGCTCTTGAAGAGAGCCACGACCTCAAACACTAGACGTGAACAAAATACAAAGCTCCAATCATAAATCGTCGGAAGGTTACACTAGATTAACGGTATTGAAGCAAATAAAAAAAAAAAAGGTTGTGTAAAAGATCGTATCTTCCGAAAATTCCACAATCAGCTGGTCGCTCCCCGGTATCGTTTAGGTGTTAGCGCTTATCTACTCGGTGGTACGCCGGATAGCTGCCGGCAATCAACAGGTGTTCGTACTCCGGAATATTCGCCAGATGCAAATTCATTTACTATCCCAAAATTATGCCAGGTCAATGTCCTCCGCACACAAGAATGTGCAAGGATATACTATAAACTATACCATACAAGAATTCATCTACTACATGGATTGATCGGTACAAGAATTCATCTACTACATGGACCCCCTGAAATCGTCAGGAGGGTAATGAAAAATACTTAAATCAATGAAATATGGAAATTATCCAACCTCAAATTGTGAATATGTAGGTAGGGCGATGAACTTCAACCAGATATAGCCTCGCAATGGGGAAAACGGCTTCTGAGTACACTACTCGACAACGCCAATGAAGAGGTAAAATTGCCAGAGATTTCACGTGAATGATGGCAAATATTACCCACTGGTTTAAGAAGAATTCACAATGCCACGCTCTACAACAAGTACAACCTCGTTGGCTTTAAAACGGAAATGAAGTGAAAAAATAACGCGATGAGGAAAGAAACACGCGTACAAGTGACGCCATCTCACCTATATCCTACCTAACCTAGCAAGCGGTAATTTTGAAATTTGAATATGAATGAAGTAAACTGTTACAGTACACTCTTTCTACATCCAAGAAAAAAGTTACGCATTTCAAATAACGGATGAAATAATTTTGAATATTCAACCATGGAATATTCTGCTTCTTGGAAAATTCAGCATCCTAAGGTTCTTAAGGTTTCTGGAAACTTTGTTCAGAAATTTATCGGATTTGTATAGCATGAGATCAACATTACATTACATTACATTAGATACGTTTGCTTACTTTCCTTCGCGAGTAGTAAATTTGCAACTATTTAATACCATAAATAATAAATATAATAAATGTAACTGACAGTTGTCAATTGAATTTAACAGATATTAGTCAAAAAGTGATCGGACTTCCATATTTTAGTTAACTTGATCTCATAATGTTTATGAAGATCTAAAACAATCGTTTTCATGAAACCGGGTGATCGCTTTAGAATTAAAAAAGTAAATTTGGTAAAGATGGGGAGATTTACACATGTACCGTTTCATAGCGAACCTGAACGAAAATGTGTCGGGCGATAACAAGTCATATCAAGAAACGTATTGAGGCGAGCGAGCGCGGTTCGGACCAAAAAGTCCATTTCGTTGTGCGAAAAGCCCAGCACGAGACGAAAATTCAGGGTTTACTACACGTTTAGAAGGGTATTGTTTCATTCACAAAATAGGGCCCGTTTATGTTTTTTTATCAAGCGAAATTCAAATAGCGAAGAAGGTGGGAGAGATTCTGGCTTCAGTTCTCGAGCCGAAACGTACACGGTTTGGGCGCGTTAAAAAATTAGATGCGAATTTGCGAGCTGTTGCGTACACCCTTTGGGTACCTGAGTTTTTCTACTGTTAAAGATTTATTATAAATTGTTTTTCACGAAACCATTGTGTACTACCTTAAGTGGGTTGAAATTGAATTTTTACCAAAGTTATAAGTGTAGCCACGTGCCATTTTGTGTACGACGATTTCGTGGTGCGATTTCAATGCATTTTTATGCGTGAATTTTATACTTCCTTTTTTAAAGCAGAAGGACGTAGTGGGGCTACGAAAGGGGTTTCACTAGTTAGTAGACCTCCGGAAAGTTTGTCTTTCAATATCAGTCAGTAGCCGTGTTCCTTTGGTAAGCGAAAGTAAACACTTTATTTGAGGGTGATGGTTTTTTTTCACACACCTCAGGAACTAGAAAGAAAATTTAGTGATTAACGGCATATGGTAAAGATTTTAAAAACAATTAATTTGTGCAATACAATCAAAAGTGGAATTTTATCTCTGGGCATAAATAACCACATCACCAGTACTACTTTCTCGAATGTTGAAGCTACCATTTATACGAATTTTCCTTCCGTCAAAATTGGCATTTATCACGAAGATAACATACAGGCGCGTTGCAGGAGGTTTGGTTGTATCGTAAATGTATTGTATAAAAAACTATCTTTTCCAAGGAGAGATCAGATCCGTTATTTTCAGGAATTTGCATATTAGTACAGGCGGTAAGTGCATCGGTCTAAACATTTTGGGGGGGAAAGCTGGACTTTGTTGAAATGTCTCAGGTTAGGTGTCCCGAATAACGTACTAAAAGCCCAGACCCCCAACTGCGCCGCTCGTCGAGCTGTGGCACGTTTTTGCCCCCCGAAATCAGTTTTTCGTTAATATCTCGAAATGTAGCAGGCTTAGAGAACAACTTTTCAAACAAAAAATGTTCCTCGTAAAATTTCTTACACGAAAGCTTATTTTCAAGTTAGCCCAGGCCTAACCGTTAGCCTACAGCGTTCTTTTGAGTAGTCTAATATTGAGTTCTTTGATGATTTTTTGTACTTATGGTTGTTATTGATGAAAAACATACTTCTCACTTATTGTACCATAGGATAGCCGATTTGAACGTTAGTTTAAGAAATTTCATTAAGATTCTGGAAGCATACGTATTTTCTTATTTACAGTTCAAAATTATAATCACTTAATTCTATATACATTTCATCGTTCGACTCAACAGCAATGTCATCATCCGAATGCAGAGTAGTTTCGACATCGGAGTCCATACTGTCGTCGAAGTGTGACTCTTCCTCAGCTTGTACCTCAGCATTGAGGCATGAAAGACCCATACACCCGGAGCGTAAATTGGAACATTTCAGTCCTGTAACACAGAGAAGAAAGAGAAATGAGTACGTATCTCTGAATTTCAGAACCTCGAAGAGAACTGAACAGAAATCGGTGCTTAGTCTTCTATCAGGACGCACCTGCTTTTCTGTACGAACATGCAGATAAGCATCCTTTTTGACAAGCGCATGAAATTAAATTCAGCAACTCGTCAGGAGTAGTTAGGCGCAGCGGTCATCGGTGTAGGCAGAAGTTCTGCACTGTGT